ACCGAGAAATAGTCATTCCTCATGGAACTACATACATCACCACAGAAAAGTTAACAACTGTTATGTTGCACACACAAAAATGAGCATTTTTACATTTTGGTGTAATCATGTGTCCCTTCCATGACAGGAAAACCTGCACTTGCAGCAGTCTAACCTCACCTTGCAATACTGACCACCAGCATTTGCATGACATCTTTAAATGCACAACTCCAAATCTCTTGAAACAGACATCTTGCCTTTGAGGAGATGTAATATATTTTTTCCTTTTATGCTTGTTGAATCATTAAAGCACGAGAACAATTCATCTTAGTTCTACATTTCTCTATAAGGTGAATTATTACCATGCAAGGAGTTGATTGAAAATTGGTTGCTATGAAGAAAACTCCGTCCACTATCAAGGCATCTGATATATCATTGGTGATACCATAAGCTACTCTAAAGGAATGTCTAACTGGAAGAGCTATGAAACACAGTAAATGAAAATTAACTCAGTATTTTTTCCAAGATAATAGAGTATTACGTTGACATGCTTGGTCTGACCATATTAGAATATGAAAAAAGTTCTTCATGGCTTTGAAGACCTTATACCAGATTGGCAGTTTTACATGTCTGATGAGATCAGGAAAGTGACTAGAAATTTCACCTTAAGTGTGGGTGGGGAAGCAAAATAATTCATAATTCTTTAAGCAAAATAACTCCATGACAGACTCACTTGCTGTGGAAGTTAATTGCCATAAAGAGCAATCAAGCAACAGATAGGCTATCTAACAAGGAGCTATGTTTTAAAGAAATGTTTTTGTCTGACAAACAGAAGTTATCTACACAATTGGAGATTTTGAGTTTACATGAGGTTGGCAAATGAGCAAGGCATCAGTGCTTGTAAAATGTTATCCGAAGCATGGAGGAAAGGGCAGGAGCAAAGGAGCTGGGACTTGGGAAAGGACATTGCTGCAAGGTAAATGGACATGGTAAAAGGATTAGTTTGGTCATGTCACATTTGATAGTTCCTGTCTGGCCCTAGAGGAATACACTTTGCCCTTCACTCACAAACCTCTTGTAATTAATTAATTCTTGACATGGACATTCTATCTGTGTCTCCCCTGTGAGCGACACACACAGCTTTGGCTGCCTTGTACTAGCAAGCAATGACAAAAAAAGGTAATTTGGCAGGGAATCAATACTAATTACTCTCAAATCTACTTGCATGGCAATGTTCAGACAGAATGTTCTCTCCTTGCTCAAGCTGTTACCTGGAGGAAGGAAGAATCTCCCTCCTCACAGTAAGGGCCGTCCTGAGGGGAAGCCGTGTGAGGAGCGGCTGAGGCCACCTGGGTTGCTCAGCCTGGAGGAGGCTGAGGGGAGACTCACTGCAGTTACAGCTTCCTCCTGAGGGGGACAGGAGGGGCACACGCCCCTCTCTGGTGACCAGGGACAGGACCCGAGGGAATGGAGTTCTGTCAGGTTTAGGCTGGGTATTAGAAAATAAGCCACCAGAGGGTGGCTGGGCACTGGAACAGGCTACCCAGGGAAGTGGTCACAGCACAAGCCTGACAGAGCTTAAGAAACATCTGGACAACATTCTAGGGCACATGGTGTGACTCCTGAGGTGCCCTGTGCAGAGCCAGGAGCTGGACTTCACGATCCATGTGGGTCCCTTTCAACACAGCATAATCTGTGATTCCTCCCCTTAACCCACGCTGGCCGCTGCAGTGCTCAGCGCGCTCCCTCTTCTCGCAAAGGCGAGGCCGGGGCCGAGCAGACCGTTTCCTCGGCCGGTCTGCCAGGCCGATGGGAGGGGAGGAACGGAGTTGATTTGGCGCATTCCTGCCGGCACTCGGAGCGGCGGGGGCTGTCCCGGGGGGCAGGAGAAGGCGGGAGAAGCCGGGAGAAACCAGGCAAGGCGGGAAGGCGCCGCGGGGGCCGATGGGTAATAGAGGGAGAAGGCGCGCGCGCTCAG